GCCCCCCGGCCACGACGGCGCAGCCCCTTCCTGGGGCGGGATTTGCCGCGAGGTCTTCATGGAAGCGATGTCCCCCCAGCAGGAGACCCTAGGGGGGCGCTCCTCTTCCCTGACTGGCTTGTCCAGGCTCGCGGGAGGCTCGGGCGCCAAGAAGGTGAGGACGTTGAGCGGGATTGGCAGCCGCAGTCCCAGTCCCCCGCGCGCGCCCGCCGCCCGCCTCGGGGACTTAACGCTCGGGGCTCGCGGCCCGTAGCGATCGCCCCGGGACCCTCCCGCCTTGTTGGCATCGCCAGCCTTCATCCGTGTCGGAGCGGACATCGCAGCCCCCCGCCTCCATCTCCGCGGGATCCGCAGCCCGGCTCCTCCCTCCATCCCGCGTGCCTGGATTGGGGGGATCGCGCTTCACTGGCCCCTCTGGGTGCCCTGCCCCTCTGCGCCCCCCGAGATCACCCGGGCGCGCCGCCTCCTGCAGAGGTCACCTCCGCGGTCGTCAGGGCCGGCGGTCAGCCCGGCGGAGCTAGCCCAGCCCAGTAAGGTAGGCTGCGGGGTTGCGGCGGCCGCGGGGCTCGGCCCCTCACCTGGCCGCGAGCGGCGCGGCTGCTCCGCAGTCTTTGGGAGGAGGGGCGGTCTCCCGGTCCCCGGCTCCGTGCCCAGCGCCCGGAAGGACCCTGGGGCTGCGAGGTGGTGACCCGAGTTGGAGATGCTGATTGGGACGAGTACGGTGGACACTATGGGGAAATGGAGGTTTGATTGGGCCTAGAAATGAGCGGGGTCGGGGTTGAAGGACTGTGTGGACCGAGACAAGGGGCCTTAGCCCTCTGGTCGTCCTCTTCCCGGGCAGATGACAAATTGGGGTGGCGAGATCGGCGTGGGGGTGGCGCGCGTGCTTTCTGTCAAAGCTGGGAGGCGGGAGGCGGCAACAACTTGTAGCGTTCTGTGCCAATAAACAGCCGCCCCAGCGGCGTGATGATGCCTGTCAGGGTCAGGTTTCACTGGGACAGTTCTCCAAGCAAGTGCACGTGGGCCTCGAGCGCCCGGCCTCTGCTGGGCTAAGGATTGGTTTGTAGGTTTGTAGCCACGTCTCTTTCTCCTAGCCCCCTGCTGCAAGACTTTCAGAGATTTGGATATTTTCCTTCCGTGTCGTGGTAGTGCCCTTCCAGTTTTCTGGAAGCAGGTTGAGATTAGTAAAGTCTCTAGCTCTTCCTATAAGAAATAGCTCGGAGAATTGCATGTATATCACTAGAGGGTTACTCAGGTTGCCCTACCTGTCTGAATCTTACTGCCTTTCATAAATCTCCCCCGCAGGATCCTGGGTTGTCTAAAGGTCAGTGAAGGAAAGGTGAGATTGGCACACTGAGTATAGGAATGTCATGAGCTCCCAAGGACCTTGACCATGCATGCGGTGGAGCCATCTAGGGGTGTCTATGGACTTGATGATGTATATAGGCTGTAGTGCTGACTCAGCCTTTGATGTATTGAAGCTGCAGTTTGTTCTTGTTGCTTTTCCCATTGTTCAGAGATGGAAGGGTGTGTGCATATGTGTGTGTGTGTGTGTTTTCAAGCATCTCAAATAGTACATAGACACTACATTTCAGAAAGTAAATGAGTGTAATTGACAGATGTTTTAAAACCTCCCTCCCTCCTTTTTAGCTTTAGGGATTGGGGAAAATCCAAGACTAGTTTCCTAAATAGTCGCGTCCTTTTTTGTAAGGATAATTGAGCACGTTGGCAAAAGTAGAGAGCAAGAGTAGCTTGATAAATTATCAGTAGATTTTGTCCAATAAAGGAAGGGCTGGTTCACCCTTTTCCCAAGATCTTTTTACACAGCAGATTGGTATGGTCCTTAAATTGCTGCCCTGCGTTCAAAACTGCAGTGGATTGTCACATTACCAAACCACCCTTTTCCCTTTTTCAAAGAGTGAAGCTTTGCCAATTTGGTCTTCCAACAGTTAGCCTCTTGGGGGACAGGGGGAGATGTTGAGAACGGTTCTATTTTGCATTCAATATTTATTTTAGAAAGGTGCCCTTTTTACTTATTTTAAATGTTAGTGTGTGTGTCTTTTTTATTTCAGACCTCCAGGTCAACAATAGAAAGTAATGAGAAAATAATTCCCAGAGCACAATGCATAGAATTGGAGCCATTCCTTTTATAGAGCACAGCTTTCATGTATCTTAAATATTCATCAGATTGATCGTTGTCATGTTTCATCTTTTCTTTTTTGGTGCTCAGTAACCTTAGAGAGCTGTGACACCGATTTCTTTAAAAAGCCTACCATGTGGTTATGATATTATTAAATATTGGGTCAGCAGTCCGGGTGGGGAGGGGTGCCAATGGCAAAGCACCGCACGACTAACAGAAAAGTTGATGCTTCAAACCCACCCAAAGGCATTTGGTGGAGGTGGGGGCGGATTGTCATTTTCCTCCCCAAAGGTCACAACACTGAAAACCCTATGGTGTGCTGTCCTGTTGTGCACACATAAGGTCCACAAAGGGTAACTAAACCTTGGATCTACTTGATTACAAAGAACATCAATAACAAAACTTGGGGCAGTTTTTAAATTGCTAATGTCAATCAGCAGTCTTAAAAGGTACAGTAAAATAGAAAAGACTTGTGCATAGGAAGGAGATGGACTGTTTTTGTACAACTTCTTTATCTCATGGGGTGGGGGGTGGGGGAAAGCTTCAAAAAGTTAATGGAAAGGTTCCATTATCTTTTACTTCTGTATTTCCACGAACTTTTTAAAATGCCCCCATTTTATCATATATGATGTGTAGTTTGGGTTGTGAGGTGCAATGTAACTCGATGGTTGAACATTTAAAAGATATCCACTTACTGCATAGACCCTTGTACAGAATTCAGTTCACTTGGCTTTGAGCTCCAGTTCTGGTACTATATCTTCTTTGCCCTCAATGACTTAACTTTTGTCTCTGTTTACTCATTTGCAAGGTAGGAATCAACAAGTTAAAGTCAGGAACTGTTTTGAGGAGTAGGAGGGTAGGTCGAAAAACTTGCTACTAAGCTTCCAGTTCACACCTGCACAGGTTTATTTCAAGCAAGGGTGTTAAAAAACATGTCTCAGCTCAGTGAATGGCCGCAAACAAGTTCTCTCAGTAAACGGCTTGTCTTCAGTCTTGTGAGATTACTTCAAGAGAAGGATAAATTGTATGCCATAGCAAAAATGTGTTCAGGCTAATGTGTGCTCTCTGCAATTGGCTTGTCTTTGTCTTGTGAGAATGCCTGTTTTTAAAAAAGGATACTTTTGTGCCATGGCAAAAAATGACTTTGAGTTCAGGGCTAATGTATTTTTAACCGAACTCAAGCAGACATCTTCCCAAATCATTGAAGCTTTACAAGTTCATGGGAATATTGTCCCCCACAAAACAAGTTTTTGTTTTTTCAATGAAACAAGGATTTGAAGGCAGGTTGGGAAGTTCTCAACTAAGAGCGGGAAGACTCTATGAATGAAGAATCTGTGACTGAAGTCCAGCCATTTGGTGAAGAAGACCAGTTGATGACCATTTGAGGCTATAGCTACTGAAGTTGGGGGCTCTTGGGGTTCAGCATTTTCTATTTTAAGTGAGCATGTGGGCTTAAGTAAGCTTTTAACTCAACGGGTGCCAAAAGTGTTGTACAAAGATTAGCTAGCTCAAGGAGCTGATCTTATATCTTTTAAACAAGATCAAAGCTAGTGAGGAAGATTTTATGGAACGAATCCTAACTGGGGGCAAGACTTAGATTCACGACTATGATCTCAGAGAGCAAGGTCCAATCAGAACAATGACTTCCAAGGGGATCTGCTGAGCCAGTTGCATTGAAGGCAGAATTCAGTTCAGATGAGAGTGCTTTCTGCAGTGCTTTTCCCCCGGGCTGGTCTTGCTAGCTCTTGAGGAACACAAGACGTTCATGAGGACTTCTTAGGAAGACGTTTTTAAATAATTAAAAACTGTACTGGTGAGTGAAAGGACAGGAACGTTTTACCAAGGAACTTTCCCCATCACAATAATGCACCCACTCATTATTCCAGGGTAGCAAGAGCAGCCATGAGCAAGTTTCACTGGGAAACCTTGCTTCATCCACCCAAGATCTTTGAAACACGAGCTGCCCACTTTGGTGTTTTTCATCGAATAAACGTTTCTATGTTTGTATAGCAGTGCTTTTTTTCTTACCTTCTAATATTTACTCTAGGAGGCAGAGGTGGCCTTAAAGTAGTAGGATTTAAAGAACAAACCTTCTGACTTCTTTTTGATCCCCAAACTCAACAACAATTGAAAAGGAATACAAGTCAAGGCCTTCGAGGATGCAAAAGCTGCTCTTTGGACAAGGTATAACTTAAAGAGTGCACACCTTTTCAGGGAAGAGTTGGAGGCATAGAAACACCATCCTCAGAAGTGTATGTACGTACACATGAAGGATATACTGAGAAACACGAGCTGCCCACTTTGGTGTTTTTCATCGAATAAACGTTTCTATGTTTGTATAGCAGTACTTTTTTTCTTACCTTCTAATATTTACTCTAGGAGGCAGAGGTGGCCTTAAAGTAGTAGGATTTAAAGAACAAACCAAACAGCCCCTTTCAAGCTGGTTCTCGTGGAAGTCTATCACTTAGTCCGGTGGCACCGTTTTGCACGGTGGGGTGGCATTTGGAGTATGAGGACCAAGATTCAGGTTTGCATTTTGTTGGTATTACCATTCAAACCTGGGCAGGTTACTTCAACTTTTCAGTTTCTTGTTTTCAAAGTAGAAACAATAATAGTACTTCTCGTATTTGTTGGGAAAATTGAATGGGAAAATATTACCATATAATAAAAGTCCAAACTCACTGCTATTGAGTTGATTCTGACTCATAGTGACCCTGTAGGACAGCATACAACTTTCCCTGTGGGTTTGCAAGAATGTCAATCTTTATGGGAGTAGGAAGCCTCATCATTGCCCCTCAGAGCAAGCTGGTGGTTTCAAACTGCACACACTAAGGTTAGTAGCCCAACTCATAACCACTACACTAATAGGGCTGACTCCTAACATCTAATAAGCACTCAGAAGTGGTAGTGCTTATTATTTGTACATTTCCCTATATCTGTAAATTGTACCACTGTGTCCATGTTGTTCAAGCCAGGAATCTAAGATTCTTCTTTCAACTCTGCTCCTTTTCTTG